CTGGGTTTGACAATGCCCTGGTCCATCCTGAGGATTCACTTCCAGAATCAGGAGCGGTTTTGAACAATCCTGAGGATCCACCAAAACCCACTTCCAGAATGTTTAGATTCAAAAAATTCTAAAAAATTCGAGTTTATGAATAAAAAGAAGCAATATCTATAGTTTACACATAAAATGGTTTTATTTCCAGCTATTTAGTAAAATCTTCGGCCTTCGAGTTTGCGTGAAACCCCTAGCAATTTACTGTGTGTATGTGTGTGTGCATATGTGGCGTATTCAAAGAATTTCAGTCCAGAATGGAGCATTAAAATTCATGCTCAAAATATAATGGAAAGATTCAATAGTTGAAATTCTTGGTCAAAACAGCAGTATGGGCCGCGACCATATTTCATTCACTCTTAAATTATCAAAGTAATTGACAAAGTAATTGTTAAGTGTTTTTGAGTCAATATTTCTCTGTGTTCCCTCTCGACGAAACGATATCATACAATTTTAATGCAAGTAAAATGTCGTGGATGACATATCAGAAAAAAAATAGATACAAAGCACACTGGTTTCAACATTCGATACACACCCAGAAATCTATTGTAATTAAAGCTCACTTTGGATTGGTCGAAGACAAAGTGAAAAGAAAGCGGTCACAATTAAAAGGGAATTTCTTGAGATTCTTCGACTTTTTATTTTATTGAATTTTGATTTGTTCCATTTCTCATCAAACATTTTTAATTACACGCTTTGTCATTCCATTGTGTACATGTGTGTTTGTGTGGTTGGGTGTTGGTCTAATATGTTATGGCCATCGTCTCGCGAAGGAAGTGTCAACGGAATTAGTGAATAATTGACTACGACAAATATCAAAATCAATTTTGTATTTCAAACGAAATGGTGACCAGATAAAAAGTTCATCGATATTGCTGCACAAGCAACATCGAAATGGTCTTAAAGATAAAATGTTTATGCAATTTCACCGATGGGACGGTTGTTCGGCAAACACTTGGAAAATACAGATATGATTGTAGCTCCAACTCACTTGATAATGTAAAGATTGCCTTAATTACATGGTTCACATTAGGGTCTTCAATAATAAAGATTCCACAACATTAACTTCCATACTTGAGTCGTTTTCGATTCATTGGAAACAAAAAATTGAATAATATTCTTTCTTTTAATTCAACCAAGTTCATGAAATATTTATTGGTTTCAGCTGTTCAACTTGAAAGAAACCAATTTCAAATGGATGAGAAGAAAAGTGTCATGTATCTTTCATTCTAATGTCTGAAATCCACATTGAATTCATTCAAAATAATGATAATATCCACAATAATGGGCCCGTAACAAACAGGCCTATATGTTTTCTTTTTGATCTTTAAATTTTTAAACCAACATCTGCATTTTGACTGTGAAGAAAACACTGCAATGTAAGATTGACTCTTATATTGGGATATAATAAGCACACGAATTGCAAACACTGTTTACAAGAATCAGTTTATCATGATTTCGAGAATGCATTTATGTTTCATTCGATTGTTGTACTACATCAACTTTGTCTTCCCAT